GTGGAGTGGTAGAGGCTAGAGGTTCCAGGTGGATGGTACAGACCGAGCCAAAGAGGAGACTATCTGTGAGTTTAGGGGAGGGGAGGGCATGAGAAGGTCAAGAGTGGGAGATCCTGCAGGAGAGACTGAGAGCTTTAATGCCAGACTGAAGCATTGGCACTTTGGTGGTAAGTGGTGGTGAGGGGCCGGAGGGTTTTGACTTAGGGAATGACATCAAAGCAGTGTGTTGGGAAGATAAGCCTGGGTGTGATGTGTGTAGGATGGACTGAAAGGGAGAGATATTGGCCGCTGACAAATTAGACAGAAAAGGGTTAAGAGGGCTACCCGAAGCCTGAGGTGATGAGGGTTTGAATTCAATGGTGGGGCATGGGAGGTGGGCAGCGGAAAGGCAGGGGGTGGGGGTGTGCTGGATGGAGGGGATTGTGAGTGACTTGACCTTGGCCCCTTTTCTGTGGATGTCCCATCACACCTTTTCCCTTTCCCCCACTTCCCCTTCCTGGACGTCCTTCCTTCCCTTTCCTTTCTCCTTCCCTCTTCCTTTTTTTTTGTTAAATATTATATATACATCTTATGATGACCAGTCTTACTCATTTTGGTTTCCTTCTGAACCTTGCATTGTGGCCTACACTTAGCAAGTGTTTGATTAACACATGTTGGCTTGTCGTTGGTGACTGATTAGAAGTGGGGCAGGAGCCAAAGATAACCAAGGGCTCAAGCCTGGGTGCTGGGAGAGAGGGGGATGCCAGGAGAAGCTGGTCAGGGTCAAAGTCAGGTTGAATCTGAGCTACTGGCAGGTTATCCAGCCGATTGAAACCTTGGGATATAGCTAGAAGAGAGAGGAATTTTAAGGCACATCCTCACCTTCACCCTCAGTCCAGCTGGGGAGATAGTGGCTGTGTTTAAGAGCACAAATTTTGGTCTGGGATCATATTCTGGCCCGCCACTAGCTGAGTACCAAGTTAGGTAGTCTCCCTGAGCCTCAGTTTTTTTCACCTATGAAAGCAGTGTCAATTAGTAGTCTATCAAGTGGTTGTCAAGGCTAAAGGCGAGGTTAAATGTATTTGTACAACTGGGAAAAATGATAACTACAGGTATTCATTATTATTACTATTATTAAGGGTAGGAGAAGGAGCATGAGTCATGCGACTCCATCCACAGCTTCCTGCTGCAGAGTGAATAAAAGGCAGCCTCCTGCCCCGGGCTCCTACGTGATCAGGTCCCTCCCTGCCTACCTCTCATCCAGCACCAACCTGTACTGTGCTCTGCCTGGCTGTCTGCAAACTCAGCTTTGCTGCCCCAGGGCCTTTGCGTTTGCTCTTTCCTTTGCTTTGAATGTTTCTTTGCTAGATCTTGTGTGGCTAGCTTTTCTCGTGTCTGGGGGTTGGTGTATATACTGTGTAATCATCATTCAAATCGAAATCCAGCATCTTGTGGCTTCCTGAGATTTAAGTCTTAGCTCAAACATCACCTCCTCAAAGTGACCATCCCTGACCAAGTCTCCTTGCCGCACCCTCTGGCACATCGCCCTGCTTTATTCTCTCCAGAGCACTTGTCATGACCTCCAGTTACCTGTGCACAGTTTATTCTTATGTCTACCCCACCCTGCCCGACCTTCTAGTGAAAGCTCCGTGACAGCAGCCACTGGACCGTGTTGACTTCCATATCCTCAGCACCTTGAACAGCACCCAGTGCACAGGAGACGCAATAAATTCTTGTTGAATGAATGGCTGATGTTTAAGATGCAAAAGGAGAGGTGATGGCGGTGGGGACAAGTCCGGTGAGGGTGGGAAGAGGGAAAGCTGGAGACATTTTGATACGCAGGGTAGGGCTCTGAGAGGGCTGCTTCGGCTGACTGCTTTGACATTTTCACAAAGTAACGGGTGCAGGCACCTGCTGAGAGCTGATGGCAGCAGAAGAGGGGTCTGGGCCTTGAGGCTGGTGGAGGGTTTTGGAATAATTATGCTAGCTGCCATTTATCTAGCATGGCTCCAAGCCCTTTAAATGTATTAGCTGATGTCATCTCATGACAATCCTATGAGGACAGGCATTCTTATTACTTCCATTTTAAAATGTGGAAACTGAGGTCCAGAGAGGTCAATTAACTTTTTCCCACGGTCAGACATCTAGGACACGGCAGATCTGGGGTTTGAACCCTGGCAGTCTGTCTGTTGGAAACTGTGTGAAGCACCATTACAATCTCCTGCCTCCCTGGTCCCTGAGGCATGGGTCTATGAAGGGACAGCACAAGATGAGGAGGAGGATTGTGTAATGAGTGGTACATAACAGGCCCTGCGGCAGTCTGTCAGCCAGCATGCTGTGCCAGGAAGCCCAGGAATGGGAGCAAAGAGAGTGAGTGGGACGGGGAGGGGGATGACTCCAGGTTAGGGATGACAAAGACGGAGGCTGAGGCATTCTGAAGGGTGTGAGGAAGGGGGTTTCTGGGCAGAGAGAACAGCATATGCAAAGGCCCTGAGGTGGGGAAAAGCATAGCTCGCTGGGAGGGGTGAAAGTTCAGTGTCAGAGTATAGTGGCAGTGGGCGGGGAAGGGGGACTGGTCGGCATTTGAAGAGTCCAAGGCAGAGCCCAGGCGTTGGTATTTTATTAAGTACCCCAGGTTATGCAGCCAGGGATAAAACTCACTGATTTAGTGTTTTTCTTTTTTTAATGGAGGCACCGGGGATTGAACCCAGGACTTCATGCATGCTAAGCATGCTCGCTACCACTGAGCTATACCCTCCTCCCAAGAAACAGTGATTATGACTGGTTTTCAGGTAATGCTGGTTTGGGGCCAACACTTTGAGAAACGCGCTCCAGATGATTCTAATCAGTACCAAGGCTGAGAAGCACTCATCTGAACTGAAGATGGGGCACAGGACCACGGCTTCAAAGTGTGAGCAAGGAACAGGCAAGGCCCTCGTCTCCTCCAAGGGAATCGGGCATGGGAGCAGCTTCCACAGCACAGAGGCAAGGCAGAGGTAGCACTGGTTGGGAAAGAATCAATTCAGGTGAGGAGCAGTGAAGGTGGCAACTGGAGGGGGGGTTTATCTGTGGAGCAGGCAGAAAAAGGACTAGGGCGTAGGAATGAGCAAAGGGAGGCCGACGGGGTTCTTGAGGCTCGAGGTTCGACTGCAGCTGGGTGTCACCTGCTGGTGTTGGCACCTCATTATTCATCCTTTAACTTACACTTCCCCCGCTACTCCCAAAATGATTTGTGGCGAAACTCTGAAATATAGAAATATGGAAAGTGGTGCCATGGTGTCTGTGGTTGGGGGAAGGAGGGTGGTGGAGCAGGCTGACCACGGGGTCTGATTTTACCTGGCTGATGAGGTTGCTAACATCAAATGGGAGCTGTAAAGCCTTCGGCAGTGTGGCCAAGACCACGCCATACTGTATGGTGGACAGCAGGGTGTCAGGGGGCAGGGACAGGTTAACATCTACACGATGCGTCAGGTCCCATGCGCGCCACTTCGTTTCTTTCTCATTTAATAATGCAGGACCTGGGGAAGCCTGGATTTTCTTCTTAAATGCACTGGGAAGTCACTGAAGGGTTTTTAAGATGGCAGTGATGAGACTGACGTAGTTGTCACATACGATCAGCGCTATGCCCACTCCACTTTGTAGGCCAGGAGACTAGAGGTTAGCCAGTCCCAGATCACACACAAGGAAGCGGTGGCAGAACCTAGATCTAAAACCAGGCCTCTCTGACATAAGGCAGTTGTGGCAAAATGTTAACAGTTGGTGAGCACAGGTTAAGGGTATAGGGTGTTTGCTGTATCTTTCTTTCAAAATTTTGTAATAAAAAGTTGGAAAAACGAACTAGGTCTAACGGCAAAGCTTAAGCTCTTTTCTCCACTGTGCCATGCCGTATCACTAACCCGAGTGACATTAAGTCACTCATTGTTCCCTCTGAGCCCAACTCTGTGCATCAGAACAACGGGATTGGATTAGAGCACCACTCAGGTTCTCTCCCTAACGCTGTGCGATGGTGTCGCTGTGGCGGTGTGTGGCTTCAGATGACTAGCCTACACCAAGAGCCAGGTCTCCAACTTGTCCTGCGGCCACGAAGGCCCTCAGGGTTGTCCTGTTACAGCAGCGGGGGACAGTTTCTAACCTCAAGGAAGGGGGCTGAGGCCGCTCTGTCACGCTGCCTGCTGCTGTGTAAACACGGCTGCCATCGGTCTCATTCACTGCGGGGAATCAGGCGCAAAAGGAAATACCTTCCTCTGCCAAGGCTTTGGGTGGGGCTAGAAAAACGGCTCACGACAACACTGAATCAGCACATGCATCAGGGTCAAGCTCACAGTCAGAAGGAACTGGAAGAGGGCCCCGGATGGGAAGAACCCTCCAACCGAGGCCTCATCCATCTCAAAGGGAAAGGGATTAGAACGTCCAAATTCACACTAGAGGCCAGCAGGGGAGCAGAGGCACCATGCCGAAATGAGGGGTTTCCTCTTAAAGCGTTAGAGTTCAGATGAGAGCCCCCCAAATGTACTAAATTTACGGACTTTGTCACCCCAAGAGGTAATACAAATTCAAAACTGATTTTTCAAAAGTTGCAAAATGAATGACGTGAAAACATTCTTTGGGAGGCAAGGGTAGCATTGAGGCTGTGTTGGCAGGGGCGACTGGGTTCTCCCGAAATGTGTCCAGCAGAGTCTGTCAGATTTCTAGGACTGCAGTGATCATGGATCTGACCCAGTGTGACATTTATGTGCATTAAGAATCAACATCTTTTCTCCTAACAGTGTTATTTTCTTGCCTGAATCCCCAGGGCTGAAATAAGGATCCTTGGCTGGCCTCCAAAAGCCTTGGGACTTGTTTATTAGCCTTTGAAAACATGTGGTTACTCCTCTCCAAGGGCAAAATACTGAAATTCTTCTGACAGTTCCCTGTGAGGCAGGACAAGACAGCATAGGCGGAGCTGTGGGGAACGCGGCAGTCAAGTGGGTCCCCGTTACACAAGCCCCCTCCTCGGCTCTTCCTAGGATCAGTCACACTTTGAGTTTTCACACAACATATATTTATTCAGAAAAAAATCTGCAATAAATTATAATAAAAAAAAGATGACACGAAATACAGAATCCCACTAGCAGCTTTGCTTAGTGACCAAGACATTTTGGGGAAATATAACAAACAATTAAAGAAAAAGAATCAGGAAACAGTGAAAGGGAGACTAATGCCACATCACCACATGGGGCTGAACCATTCTTCCCTAAAATGACAGATGCAGAGTCCTTCCCTATCAGTTGGAGCTGAACTCCTGCCTTCAGAGGAGCTATGAAATGGTACATCAGAGGTACTCAGGACTTAGAGGTTGGGGTGCTGGAGGAGGCACAGGAGGGAAGCAGATTTCATATGTCCGCTCTATTTCTTGTCTCCCTCCCCTAGAGATTGTCTAAAACCCTCAACCCTCTGTACATCTCAGGACCAGAGCTGGAAAAGAGGTTGAGGCAGCAAACCAACCGAGTGCACCTGCCTTAAGAAGAGCGAGCTAGGGTGCTGCCCACAGCCCCCACTAAGCTCCCAGGTGGCAACAGACTGGAAAATGTGTCCAGGACAGGCATTTCCCTGTGTCTGTGTTACAGACTTGCCCAGCTTCTATCATCGGCCTCTCCTGCGATTCCTTTCCAGCCTAGTGGAGACGACAAAAGTGTTCTTCTCAGTCTGCCATTAACTAAGCTCAGCCTCCTGCCCCCGACCTATTACATCGGCAGCTATTTGGCACCAATAACTTGACTCCTACTTCCATAACTCCCAAACAGGAAAGGATTTGACCAGAATATCACAGGATACATACCTTTTCTTACCCCCAAAGAGCTCAATGCATAAGAGCTGGGGGAATTGGAGAACTGGTTACTCAGTGGTGGTGTTTCCCTGGCTCTCTCCCTCGATGCTCTAGAAGAGTCAGGAGTCAATGCCCAAGACTGCACAGAGAGCCTATCCGTGGGGCTCCTTGGATTTAATGTTAACATGTAAGAATGAGCCAACTCAGGGCGGTTTTGATGAAAGAAAACCAGGAGGAAGCCAACTGCATCAAGCAGTTTTGCAATCATTGGCTGGTGACTGGTTTCCCAACCAACAGAGGTGAATTTTTAAAAAGAGGGCTGCCCCACAGGAGCTTGAGTAAATGACAAGCTCAGAGGGTTGTCTCGGGCGGGAGAGAAAGGTGCTTGGTTCATCCCACTGCAGTCTCCTTTCACTGACTGGGAGCCAAAGGGAGCTGGCTATAGAGCCCAGAGTGGGTCCTGATGAGGGAGGGGGTGACATCTGCCCCCTGGTACTTCCGGAGACCAGAGAGGGGGTTCTCAGGGTGACCCTGGTACCCTTGCTGGGGGAAGGAGCAGCATTTAGAGAGGCACACTTGAGGGACCGACTCCCTGTCTGACTGTGGTACAAGCGCCGCCCCGGAGGTGGAGTTCTAAGCGGGGGGTGGGTTCCCCAGACACCCAGGATTGGTTCTTGTGTAACATTTGAGTAAGAACAGAAAGGGATGGTAGGAAGCAGGACCTGTCAAACATGAATATTCTCACTCTTGCCATACTCACAGTGCTTCCACTCGGACTGTGAGCCTCTCACATCAATGGGATATCATCTCTAATAGTCCCGAATGTTCTGCTACCAAGTGTGGCCTAAGCCAAGAGAATATGGTTCCACCCATCGCAGATCCATAAAAGGCCAATGTTATAGAAATATACAGATGCCACTGTAGTAGCAACACACAAATTCATGTACCGACCACACAGAGATGGTTAACTCACTGCTGGGGACACAAGGAGTCACTAGCCTCACCCAGACTCCCTTTGACATGATAGTATTAGCGAAGTAGCGTGCAAAGGGGTGATCGGAGCGGGGTGGGGCCAAAGTGCATCAGACGCAGGACTACAGACAAGTCTGAGCGACAGCAAGTAGTGCTTGTAGGCCTAGAATGGGGACAGCTCAGAATCTAGGCCTAGGGTGCTGAGGGCAGTCAGGACGGCTGGCCAGGAGGGCAACACACACATCCCCAGATGTGTCAATACAGAGCTCTTCGCCTTAGAAAGAGAGAACACAAAAACACCAAAATATGGTAACTTTGGCTTGGCAATGTAAGTCTAAAAGTATCTTGCTGTGTAGGGTATGGTTAAGGGAGGGATTAGGAAACTCTCTTCCTTTCGCACTAGAAACAACTTTTTCATGCCAACAGCCTCGAAATTCTGCAGCAGACCCTTCCTGTGGCATGACTTTTCCAACCACTATGGAATACTTGGTGCCCAAGATCTTCCGCCTCTAGAATCTCGGAGAGTAGTAAGAGACAAAGGCTTATTGTTAGTCTTCATCGCTCCCAAGCAGAAAACACAGCAGGAACTGGGTAGCACGCTGGCGGTCGCTTGGAGTCTGTCTTGCCATAAGGTTGGGTGGAGGCCTCAGGAGGAGACTAGTGAAGAGTGTAGCTAGACGGCCAGAGAAAGCAAAGGGGAAAACCCTTGGTCAGACACAACCTAAGCAAAGCTTGAGGGGTGGGGGTTGGGGGCCAGGGGATGCGGGCAGTGGGAGGGAGGTGACTACCACACACCAGGACATTAAGGAGGGAATACACTGGGTACCCTGTCCACCGCTGTCCTGACACGTGGCCGTTCTTATGAAGTACCCTTACCAATCATGTTGGCGTTGACGTTGTTGTATTCAGAGAATTTTAAGAGTTCTCGAAGGAATGCCATCAAGTAACGAAAAACATTTCTATGGCACCCTGGAAGCTGGGAAATCACCTGTTTTTTAGAAAAAAGGGGGGTGGGCAGTGAGAAGACGTGGAGGTAGGGAGTAAGAAGAACTCACAGCTGCCTTACAGGTAACTTATAATCCAACCAATCCAACCCTTCCAGGACCCCATTCATCTGTCACAACCCTCCTTTATTTGCTCCAGATCAACACAATATCTGTCAAATGATAACTTCCAAGGTGAGACAGTCATACCGTTTGGCCCCGTTCACTCAATGAGGAGGCCATGTGATTACCACACATTGACACACCCAGCCCACTTCACAAGCAGGTCGGTGTTAACCTGGTCTTTTCCCATCTTCCCAGACAGGTAGCTGTGGTATCTGCCAAGCAGCTGAATGGTTTTCTCTGCAATGTCATTGAGCACAATGGGGGCTCCTCCCGATACTCACTAGTCTGATTTGGAGGTATTCTCAGCTACTGCGCATCAGAGTCATTTCAAGATTAAAAACAAACAGCAAGGAGACAAAATGAAAGGCTCACGAGTGTCACCCACACTTCCTGGCAATGTCAGCCAGAATTCCACGTACGATCAGCTTCACTGATCTCACCCCAGAGCAGAGGTAGCCACCCTACTTGAGGGGCCAACTGAAAAAGGGTGGCAAATACAACAGGAAATAACACAACTAAAATGTAAGGGTCCCAGCTCTTAATGCTGGTGTCCTGCCATGAACAACAGATCCAGACCCACCCTACCACACGGCTGGCTGCCCATTTGGCTCTGTGAAATCAATGATTTTCTCTGTGAGGGAACCTGCCTCAAATCCATTCTCAGAGCAGCAAAACTCACCTGTCGGCAGATCCGGGGATCCTGAGCAGAGTCAAGGCATCGCTGATACAGCTCGTAACAGATGACGGGCTCTGGCAGGGCTTCCAGGAAAATGAGCAGTGCCTCAGCCACGGAGTGATTACTGCCAGCTGGATTGACTTCTGTCAAGGGAAAGAGGCTCCAGGAAAAAGGCCATGCTTAGACCCGATTTGCTCCCTTCCTCAAACTCCTTCAGGGACGGCTTTCTTCCTCTCATTCAGGGTACCCTGATCTGAATTGGGGTTGGCCATCTTACTGGTCCAGGAATGCTGCAGCTGAGTTGTTACAGACTTCATCAAAACCTCTTGGGAGGTTTGGCCCAACTTGAGAGCCAAGGGACCGTGGCCTGTGGAATGACAGTTCACACTGGAAACTAGTCACCCATGTTTCCCGTCCTCCTCCCTGTCTTTAGGATGGTGCCAGTGCGGTGGGTCCTGTTCCATGCCCAGTAAACGTCGTTGTTACCCACCTCTGATTCCTTTCAGTAAGAGCCTGGTACAGAGAGAGGGGTCTAAGCTTCCTGAGGTGAACTGAGACACAACTGTATAGTCACTGACTACTTTATAATAAAAGACAGTTATGAAGAAAATAAAGATGGAAACATGAAAATCAAATGGAAGTGGGAAGAAGTTTGGGCAGGTACACATCCAGCTTACTAAGCCTTTGTTGGAAAGGATACGGATTGTCTTGGGAATGCTGGTGTCCAGACAATCAATGATCTGCTGCAGCTCCTCCTGCATTCCAGGGGTTTGGAACAGGTCCTCCTACCAAAGAGGTCACAATGAATGGAAGAAGGCAAGATAATCAGCCCTGAGGTTCTGACGAGCACCCAGGGATCAGGAGGGCAGCGGGAAGCAGAGGGAAGGCTGGTATGCACAGTCTTGATGAGGAACGGGGCTGTGAGGGCACCTCTTCCCTTCATCATCTCAACCGTGTGAAACTCTATTTCAAACTGGAAAATTATCTTCAAAGGTTTCAGCCTGTACCTGATTCGGCGGGGAACTGAATGGCTAGATCGGGAGACCCACTTCCAGCCTCCTGACAGGTAGCAGGCAGAGTCGTAACAGGAGAAGCACATTCAAACCCTGCTCTGCAGAACACTAGGGTGGGAGCAAATGGCATGTCCGCACCAAACCTCGCTTTCAAATTCCATTACTTCTCAGCAGGTAAGACAACATTATCCTTCAATTTGGCCCCAAGAAAGTGTTCTTTTTTGGGGGGACTGGGTTGAGGGTAGCAGGTATTTTAGGTAGGATTTAAAAGTCAGGACTAAATTAAAGGAATGGGCTTGAAGTTTGCTTTGGACTTTGACATCTGCAATGCCCACGTGACAGCTAAAGCAGGCATTACAGGCCCAGGCGCTCAGCGGTGCAGGGAAGGTGTGTGTAGCCAGGAGACAGGTGTGCTCAGTTCGGGCCACAGCTCCGCCACTACGTTTGTGCTGTGGTCTGAGATAAATCCCCTAGCTTGCACGCTGCAGCTCTCACATCTGTAAACAGGATGCTTCCACCTGCCCTGACAAAGTGACAGTGAAGTAGCTTGGGAAAGTTAAAAGCACTCTATATACAGATGTAAGGTATTATCATTTCCCACTGGACTCCCACCTCCCGAAGCTGCAGGGTGGGCAACTCCCACTCACCTGGTGACAAGCGTATCTGAATAAGTGATCGACCAGAAGCCAGATCTCCTTGGGGACCTTAAGAGGTCTCTCATTGGCACCTTCATCCAAGGGAACCATCTGCAGAAGGGATTTCTCCTAAGAGATGACAAGAGGTGAGATCAAAGGGGTCTCAGGAAAAACTTCTGTGTGCAATATAATCTCCAAATTCTGCTTAGGTGGGTACAATCTGATCTTCACCTCTTAGGATTTTTCGTTTTTTCTCCCTGGGGACACTCTTGGTCAGAAGGCACTCTGACTGATTCCCACGGGTAAACGATCTCCTTTTCTAGATGCTTCACTTAACCGTTAAGCATTCCATTTGCGTTTATTACGTTTATCACGTGGATGCACAGTGCGCTGTAAATCCTTCCAAGGGTGACACAGAACCGGCAATACAGTCACGGTAGAGTCCACACATCGCCGGAGACTCACGGACCATTACATTACAATTGAGAGGGCAGCACCTACTTAGGTTTCCGTTGACTTTTAACGTATTTCTCTTTCAGGTCTTACCTCAATCAGAGCTTTCACTGTTGATTTAAATGAGGCTCTCTGGTTCTCAGGAATTAAAGACAATTCTCCACATTGGACCTACACTCATGAATACTTCAGGCTTGGTAAAAAGGTCTAATTTGAAGGCACTAAAACTCACCAGCCTTAAGATCCGGAACTAGTTAAATGAACACAGCACACCAAGAGCCGGAAATACCATGAGAAGTCTCGGCTCTGAGCGCAGAAGTTACTCTTTAGAGTAATAGCTCAGCAAAGATTTCTTGGGGCTTTGACTCCCTTCACCTAACTTTCTGCTCTGTTAGATTCTCCTGAAAGAATCTCAGAGAAAAGCCCAGAAGTGATATAAATTACAGCAGTAACTAAATCTGAACTTGAAAATATCTGGGGAATAACCTCAATTATCTTATGTTTATATAGTCAAATATAAATGATATCAAAAAGACATGTGACGTAGGTTAAAGGACATCTGAAGGCAGCCTTCAGAAAATCCTGGTGACCAGTTTTTGGCATCTTCCTCCTCCTACACCTCCAGCTTAAGGTCATATAATTATGTATGTTCACTTAGGAAATGCTGTAAATTCTGTCCATAACCCTCAGCCATGTTACTTTGAGGGAAAGAAAAGAAGCATTTCACTACTTCCAGAGCAGGTGTTCACTAGAGCAGAGGGCTCTTCTTAACATTTTGTCCTTCAACAAGCACGGGTGACCTTTCAAAGCCGCCTTGCCTTTCTAAAGGAATAAGGAAGAGAAGGCAGCACGACAGTTGGTTACTATTTAAAATCTTCTTCGCATTAATTTTGCTTCCTTTCTCTCTTTCCCTGGGATTCTATCACGTAATATTCACAGTCGCTAGAGCGCCCAGAACGTCTATCAGTGGCTCATCCACTAACTTCTTTCTGGTTCCAAGTATGAAACCCAGGCATACACATGATACCCGAGCCAAAACACTGTCCACAGTGCACTCTGCTCACCTGCTGGACCAAATGCAACACATGTACAGATTCTTTAGCAGACACCTCCAAACTTACCACATATAAATTATTCAGCACTGATTCATGTACTTAAAAAAAAGTCTGACATCCAATTAGTGCTTTTCCTGTACTGAGGCAACACACGGCACCGTTTAGGATGAAAAGACAGAACACGGCCTGCTATTAACAGAGAAGGGCTAGGAAGCAGAGCCGTCTCAATCCTCAGCGGTTTAAAAAGGTTAATAAAATGCCGGTAGGTTATATACACCATCCACTATGCATCTGCAAATTCGTGTGATATGAAATGTCATACTTGCATCTCTGAAGTCTAGAGAAAGATTATGCACAAGAAATAATATTTTTAAGAAGTCCACAAATTATCCTGAACTCTAATTTTCAAAGGGAAACCAGGCACACTTTGTCTTCTTGCAATGGGATACATTTGGTGCCCGATAAGCTCACACTGTAACGTCACTGCTAATAACTAAAGCACAAAAACAGGACGCCATCCCCTCCATCATAATGCATTAAACTCCACCAAATGGGGAGGTCATGTTAGAGACTGTGTGAAAGTGCTTTAAGAATGTTTTCCAAGTGGATGGCTCTGTGTGGAGCCAGGCACCCTCCAGCCTGAAGATGGAGAGGCAGCAAAGCACCACAGGAGGAGGGTTTCATTGGTTCCTTCACTAGGTATCCAGGAGACCCGGGTTCCAGTCCCCTCTGCCCCATTCTCCCGATGTCAGGAGCAGTTTGACTTTAGCGAGTTTTCCAACTGTCCTGGGCCTTAGTTGTCTCATCTATTAGGATGGAGAAAATGAAGACGGGGGCTCTTCCACATGACCCCTTATGATGTCATTGGGGTTCTAGTTTACACTCTATTTCTTGACCATATTTCTATATATTCTTTCAGTAATTAATTATTATTATCACTACTCCCAAATCACTCTGGTTTTTTTTTTTTTTGTGGTCTCTCTCTCTTTTTATTGAAGTATAGTCAGTTTACAATGTTGCATTTGAAATCACTCTTAATGCAACAGGAATTCACTTCTGGTTTTACTATCATTGGAAATGGAAAACAGCTGAGCCGTACTCGCCTTCATCTTCTGAGCTTTCACATCCATCAAAACAGCTCTTTAATCACTTCTCATTTCAAAAATACAAATCTGTAACCTTGAGTCCTATTGCTTTTACGTACTGGGTCTCAACGACTGGACTGGTGCAGGAGATATCTTTCCTGTACTTCAGACACACTTAAAGACAGCTGGCAGGACTTTAGGGGATTCTCACGGAGTCAGGGGTCTCTGATATGGGAAAGCCTAGGGGGAAATTCCAGGGACCACGGTTAAGTGTGAATCAAGCACAGGGAAACGCATACCTTTTCTAGGAAGCTGTCTTCTTCCTGAGAGCAGAGCAGGAAAAGAAAGTCATTGACAGATAGAAAATGATTAGAATTAATTTACAGAATTAGAAATAGATCAGTATTATTAGAATGCACTAGCTTACTAGATACATACACTTTAAACAGCTTTAAATTCTTCAAATAAGTCATGATTGTTGCAAATGGAACACACATATGCAAAGTTCTCTATTATGCATATTAAATTTTTATGCAGTTTATTGAGACTATCACTCAAGAAACACACATGTGCAGTCCTAAGACGTTTGTGTCATTTGGCAGCTGCCAGCTGACCCAGCCAAATGCCCACTGATGTTTCCTTTCCACGTGCTGCTTAGAGGCAGGCCCTGCGGCTACACAGCACGTGCCTCACTCGCGGGCCACTTCAATGGAAGAACAGGGTTATGAGCCTAACAGTGGCCATTTGGGAGGCAATGGTAGGCTTCTCTTCTGTCCACTGCCTCGCCTCTCACCCTAGCTAGCCTCCTAAGCAGTATCCCACACTCCTTTCCATCTCCCTGATCCCACTCCCCTCCTCAAAGGTCCCTAGAGTCCCCAGAAATGGAGGTCTCTCTGAAATGCAAATTCATTTCATTTCAGACCTTTGTGAACCATAAGACTTATCATTATCCCTTACTGTGCTTTCCTATAGGGCGTAAGAGAAAAAAGAGAAGCAGGGCAGAGGGAACAAGGTACCTTTCTAATCGTCTCTGTCTTTTGTGTTATTATTACAGCGCAATGACAACAACAGAACAATAACAACTGCCACCACTTAGAGGGCATCTGCCCTGTAGCATTAACTGTGCAAATGGCTCCTACACAATGTCATTTAGGCTGCACATGTGAGTAAGGTGATATTAGTCCCATTGTACAGATGAGGAAACTGAGGCTCTGGGAGATGAAATTATTTGCCGGCAGTCACACTATTAGGTATTAAGCAGCAGAATCAGGATTAGAACTCTGGTCAGATTGATTCCCCGGTCATTACCACTATGCTCCCTTTTGATAACTCAAAAAGGATAAACTGCTTCCTGGACAGACAGGCAGGGGAAAGCTAAGAGAATGTATTCTACTCCAGAGCAGGTAAAGACGGTTACAAGGCAGCATGATTAGTGGAAAGAGTACAGACGCTGCTGTCAGACAGTCCTGGGGACAAATCTTCATTCTACGTCTTATTACTTTCGTACAGACCTCAGGCAAGTTACTAAACTTCATAAAGCCTCAGTTTCTTCATCTCTAAAACAGGGATACTAACCTTTGTCCCACAGGGACAGGGAAGCAGCCTAAAACCCAGGGCAGGTGGGGCAGTGGTGGTGCAGGATGCCAGCAGCAGGCCTGAGTCTCTCAAAGCTCCCCACACCTCCCAACTGGCATCTCCCAATCTGCCGTGGGCCACCAAGAGCGTCAATATAAATCCTACGTCTCGGGCTGGTAGTAAAAGGAGAAATCCTGATCTCACCACCAGAGAAGTGCAGGAGGCTGGACATGGGGAAGGATGTGTTCCCTCACATTCCAAGTAGTAATGCTGAATGCATTTCCCCTAAATGACTGTTACGTATGATGGGTAGGTTTTTTGGTATTATTAGATACATTATGAATTAAACATGCTTTTGTAGGTTCACCTAGACTTTTAAATACCACATATAAAATGAAATAAAAATAATCAGAGTAATGGTGATTCATAAAGTATACAATATTTATAGTACTGTAATCACTTTTTAATATGAAAGTTAATTCTAAGTGCCAAACATCTAATTTAACTCAGTTTTTTAAGATTTAGTACTACTTACTAACATGTCGAGAATCTGCCTGTCTGACCAACTTCTCTATTTCCCCTCCATGAATACTCGCCACATGATATGATGAGTAACACCAGGCAGCGTCTTTATACACTAACCTGTCAGACCAAGCCCTCGAAAAGGTTTCCTTTGAGCAGTGACCATCTACCAGTGCTAGGCACTGGGCCAAATGTCTTTGAGGGGTTGAGGGGGTATGAAAAATGAGGCTACATGGAAGGGAAAGACGTGGTCCTTGACTTGGGTTTCCAACTGAGTTGAGGTAAGGAGGCCTTGAATTTATGGCCTGGTAGTACTCCAATTCACCAATATGAGTTCTTGATAAATGGTTAAAACAAACAAACAAACAAACAAAAACAGGGGCTAAAAGGAAGGAGAGATGGCTTTCAACTGGGGCTGTCAGGGGACTTTTCACAATGGAGACATGACCTAACTAGCCCTTAAAAGAGTCACAAGATTTTAAAGGGTAGAGATGGGGTGGGGATGTTACAAGTGGAAGAGGGCAGAAAGAAACAAAGGTGGAGAGAAGGTAAATCACAAGGTGAGACTAGGGCAAAGCTAGTCATCTGGTTCGTGGGGAGCATGGAGGGATATTGAGAAAAACAGCAGGAAATAAATCTAAAAAGGTACGCTGAAGTCAGACTTTGCGAGACCATGAATGACAGGTAAAGCAATTTGGAATGTCTTCAGCAGGCCTGGGGGAGCCACATGTCTACCTTTAAGCAGGGAAGTGATAGGCCCCAAAGCTCTACTACAGAAAGATCAGTCTGAGAGCCCTGAAGAGGAAAAACAGAAGGCTAGGGAAATTGAGGTGAAGGGAACGGTTAAAAGGCTGCCGAGGTAGGTCAAGCAGGAGAGTAAGTACCTTCACTAATAATGGGAAAACAGCATCTTAAAAAAATGAATGGATACAAGAGAAAACTCTGAATGAAGAATCAAAAGGACTTTGACACTGGTGAAGGAAGGGGCAGCAGATTTACACTGAGAGTTACTTCTCTGGCTCCAGGCAGACAGTAGATGTAAATCATATTTATTTCAACACTAGGTTCAACTCTGAAAACAGAAATATCACTTAGCCCCCACTAATAAAGAGCATTCTCCTGAGGTTGCTACTAATCATTTAGTTCCACTGACTTCCCTACTCTCTGCAAAAGGCTACGTGTTCATCACATTACAAAAGGGCAAGAGTTCAGGATTCTCCAGCAGGGCAATCCTGGCACCTATGAATATGCTGCAAATCATTCTTCACATAACTGCCACCCTGCGAGGAGTTCTCCTAGCAGTAAATGAAGCCAAGATAGTGTATAAAAGAATCATTTGGAGGCAGATTCAAATTTAAAAATCAAAAGCAGAAAACTGAATAGATACTGAAGTTCTAGACCTTTCTAGAGGTCATTAATGTGAAATGTAAAAAGCAACAGAAAGCATACACCTAACAGGGTAAGAAAATTGTGGTCAGATCAGTAAGACAAAGTAAACATCTACTGGAGGGAATGACTGGGGACAAATTAATCACCAAATTATTTCTGTTATTTCAAATTTTTGATATTGACCTCCTAATAAACATGCCCCCAAGCAAATATAGCTTGTTCCCTCATCCATCTGTCAACTTTTTTCATCTCTGTATTTACAAGCCAAACCTTTAACTAGATCTGGTGGGTCCGAGCCTGGTCTCCTCTCCACTAGTCCAGTCTACATGCAAACCAGAATGTTCCTCCAACTGTGCCAACTTACAACCTCATAGAATACATCAAAGACTTCCGATGGTTCTAGATGCCCTCTGGCTCCAGGATAAACTCATCTGTTGCTCCCATCCTAGTTCTCCAGCTTCATACACCTTATCCTTCTCCTTTACTCTCCCCAGGGGAATCTTACACTTTTTCATAAGTGGTCTTTTCACTTCCACCTTCTAACCTTTATTCATGATGTCCCCATGCCTGGAAGAGCCTGCTCACCCAGTATATTAATACATGTTTCTTAAAAACTTGGACTTGACTTAAAATACTTCTATGACAAACTCCAAATTACTTTCCTAGCCCACTTTATTCTTGTGTGCTGAACTTATTTCTAGTCATATTAATGTTATATGCATCAAACATTCACTAAAGCCAAACAGGCTGATTCTGAGATTGATTTTCACAGAGATTAGCTGATCAATCAATAAGCTTTTATAGCATATAAGGGCTTGAGTAAACAGCACAGGAAAGGAATCTATAGTTAATATAAATTATAAGCGCCAAAATTCTTATTCTAAATGACTTTCCAGAATATTGAGTTACCAAACACACTGGACATTAGCCAGTAAAGATGGTTAATGTTTAGATTATCTCTAACCAAACTCCCCATTAACCTTGATTTAGAATTTAGCCATATTGTACATACAAGTAAACTTTCATCACCAATAAATCACAAGAACCCACATAAACTCCATAATACTTCGTATACAATGTACAATGAATACATATTGATGATTATATGCTACTTGATATGCCAGTTAATAAACCAGAAAAATCTATCTTAAATTCTGGAAAAGAACAAAATTCTCCTCTGTTTGCCACTTGTGCTAATCCCAACAGTTCTAGTCGTGGCAGTCACTGTCATTGAGCAGGGCAGGAAGAATGAAAAGGACTTATGCCAGTTACTTCACTCTGCACTTGGGGGGAATAGCATGTAGCACAAGAATCTTCCTGAACCAGAACATGGACAGTCAACACAAGCACTGAACTCATTTCTGGTTTCATCCAAATTTTTGAGTAAATAACACAAAAGAGGACAACAGGTACCATTATGAACAGCATTGTCTCACGGGATCTGAAATATCATCTTGGGGCTTGTAATAAGCATGAACAAACAAACCTAAGAAAGCATTTGAGAAGGCCAAAATCAAGCCAAAAGAGAGTGGGAAGGTATTACAACCTGGGTACAGACAATCTTCAATCTCTTGTTTACTGCCCTGCACTAATGTGGATAATTTCCTCATCAATGAGATACAGGAATTTAATAATAACTAAGTGCAACGGGCTGTGAAAAGAATCAGAACTCTAAATCCTACAAAATAGAAGCTTTAACAGAATAAATGGTGACCACACACATACAATTTAAAAACAACTCAGCAATTCTGTAATGAAAAAATGATCAGGGCTCTACTTTTTTAAACTTTGAATCATTTGTATACAAAAAGAAGGAAAAGGGCTTCCTACAGAGCCACTAACTCCACTAAAATTTTTGGCTACTTCCTATTCATGGTCAAATGTGGCTGAATTACCTGATAATATTTTAAATAAAATAAAATTGTTTATGCTGGTTGAGCCTCCTTCCAGTCACTTTAGTTCATATGGGACAACTACAGTAAAGGGTAGTATAATGCCTCTGCCAACTCTGACCAAGAGGTTCCAGTTTATAGGAAACAAGGTGGGAGGAGGAAGCACAAAAAGATAGGTTTAAAAAGTACCAGGAGGAAATAATCAGACAAATTTAGGAAATGGTAGATCCTTGACTGGATAATTGTCCTGGACTTTTTAAAACTCAATGTCATTAAAGGAAAAAAATGAGAGAACTGTTCTCTAAAAGAGACTGCAGAGACCTCACCAAATGTACTGCATGAATCCAGATCGGATCTTGGCTTTAAAAAAGCTATAAAAGAAATGACAGGGATGACTGGTGAAATCTCAGTACCGACGGACTAGTTTTCTTAGGTGTCAATAATGGCATTGTGCTTATATAGAAGTGACACTTCTTCTTAAGAGAGGCAGGTCAAAGTGTTCACTGGTGGAGTGACACATCACCACTTAATTTCAAATGGCACAGCAAAAAAAAGTATATGTTTGTATATGTGTGTAAGGCATGTGGGTGTTGACGTACTGTTCTCTCAATTCTTCTGCACATCTGCCATTTTCATAATGAAAGTCGGGAAACAGAAAGCTGGGAAATTATGCTTGGGATGGAGGGAAGGGGAAAACAACTTCATTTAGAAAATATTCTAAAAGGCAAAATAGTAAATTTAAAAGATTGGAATATGGTGGTAGAAGGAAAAATAAGTGTCATGAAAAATAACAGAATGTCAGGATATGAATTTCTGAAGAAATTGGTTCTCTCAACCAGAGGTAATAGCTCAGTCATAATTCCAAGAAAGAATGCTGGGACTGAACTCAAGAGTTTTAATCTGCCATCTGAGTCATCGCTAAAACAATTCCATGGCAACAGAACAGATCACACTCTGACAAGCCAGCAGCCTGCCTGCCGGTCTAGCCCTCCCCGCGAGATGACACCATCACTGCTCGGCTAGGCTGAAAGGACCAACGTCAATGCTAACGGGGATGATAACACAGGGCTGTCATGTCAGCTAAGTTTCTTTGGTAAAAGGCCAAGAATATACTTTGATAGCCCAAAGGGGTCTGCATACAAAACCGACAATATTTTCTTTTAGAAGAAAGGTTCTTCATAGGATGAATTTATTACTAAATAAATTTACATTCCTGAAGATACGAAGCATTTCCTCCACAAGAACATTGATATTATAGCTTGGTGCTGGGGAAGGGAAATCCTCTTCCTTTCTTTTCTTAAGGGAGTCACATTAAACTTGTATCAAACTTCAATGCACATTATAATCATCTGGAATGCTGATAAAATGCAGATCCCCAGGTCTCACGACCTGGGATTCTGATTCTGTTGCCAGAGGTGAGTGGTGGAGGGGCCTGTGCTTGTGTAAGGACCCCTGGGGGTCCTGGGACAGGTACTCTGAGGTTCACTTATGGTCTAGGCTCCAACAAGCAGCCAAGTTTGACTTGGATTAGGCAGGATGATGCTGTGAGCAGCTCTGGACGGGGAGTCAGAAAATCTGGGTGACAGATTCATCACTAACGTATTCCACTTTGGGCAAGTTATTTTCTCTGTGCCTCAGTTTTCTCATACGCTTAATGAGGATAACACCGCCCTGCTCCACTTCCTGGACCTCACCTACATGCTAATTTATACAAAAATGATTTGAAAGTATGAGGAGAGTAACAAGCAAGCATTATCTTTTTGAAAAGGGAGGCTGTAATCTAATTCAGTGAACTTCGTATTATTATATTATATTCCTGACAAGAGCCAATTACAGATTACCCTCTCCTCTTTCTTTTTAGGCTTAATCCAGTGAAAGGCATGTTAGAGTAAAGTGACATTCTTATTCTTATTTATCACTTGCCATCCATCCCCTCCCGTAGCCCTGACAAAAGAGAAAGCACAGAGACAAGGAGGCCGGCACTTAAGTACTATGAAAATTCTGTCCTAAAGGAGATTCATATCTTAGCATGCTCTTACCAAGTCTATGAGTTTGGTAACAGGAACTTCTCGGATTGGCCTTTTCATGCGGCACAAAGCCTCTAAGGATGTACCAAAACAACTTGGGAGGTAATTTCCACTGATGGTCAAGAAGTAATCTTTGCCTCGATCCAGGTGAAGGACAAGGATATCTTCAATCTTATCTTCCCCTGAGTTCAGTATGGTCACAGAGTCTTTGCTGACATACACATCAAGGGAGATGTCCACGGTCTCATCTGAAATGTAAGAGATGCCATATGGTACCAGAAACTTCCAGTGGAAAAACAAAAAGGGGACGAGAACCCACAGAAGACGTGTACTCTAAAAAAACCATCAAGTGATGAAGGAGAGATGGGATACCCCAAAGAGGGAGCCCCTATATAATAACAGTGAAGGTAAGAGACGTGTGGTTAGAAAACAAGAAGTTAAAGGGAGGGGATGGGAGATGGTACATCGCAAGCAGAGACAATGGTAAAGGGAACACTCACTTGGCTCCAAGTAGCCCTCAAAAGGTTCAGCCCGAAGCCATGGCTTGCAGTACTGGCTGTCATTAAGCTTAGGGATGAAAGAAAAATGGCAGGGAACCTGTCCATTGTTGCTGATCTGGAACTTCTCCTTTTGCAGTTGCCGAAACTTCACATTCTCAAACACAAACTGGGGAATAACAGACAGACACAACCATGCATCACTAGTAGGGGAGGTAAGTCAGTTGGATTATTCCATAGAGAATATGAATAAAGAATAAGGTCATTATCAACCAGGTGTACGCATTCACCAATGAGCTAGCTATCCACCATCCCCTCTCACGTACTATATACTCACGACGGCAGAGGAGGAGTTAGGCAGCTTTTGCTACTTTTCTAGGCTACTCTGCTCCTGGGATCCTAAGAGGATAACCCAACCTCGGGTCAGGGCATTCATCCCATGACCAAGTCCTGGTTCCTGAGACAGGAATTAACCAGCAACTCTGAAACATTAAATACGAGTGGCTAACATCTGAGGGCTTACTTTGTGCCAGGTACTGTCCGAAGAGCTTCACAGGTACTGACTTGGGTAATCCTCCCAACCACCCCTGTATCCAGGAAAAGAAAGTGTGCCTCTGGAGGGTAAGACACCTGCCCGTGGTCACACATCTACTAGACGGCAGTGCTGGGACTGGGACAGAGGCAGTCTGCCTCGGGCCCACACAGCCCTCATCACTTCGCTGTGCCGCCTTCTCCTACTAACATGGTGTCTCCTGTGCTCACCACGACAGTCAGCAGACGGGTGGCCGCGTATTTCTGCTCACCTCCCTCCTGCTGAGTTCCAAGGAAGGAAGGAAGTCATTTTCCATTCTGTCCATGATGCGTACAATGTCTTCAAACACTTTTCGATACCTCCGTTCATCCACAACCTTCACCTGAAAGAAAACGAGCCCTCTTTTCAGTCTTATGTGCTCCGAGCTCACCTTCCTTTGAGATTACCTAACAGTTTAAAACCAGTCATTCTAGAAACGATTTCAAATAAACTGTGGTTCAAACAACATCCTCAAACACTTCCTGAAATCTCGTCCATCCACAACTTTTTACCTGAAAAAACCAAACAGATCCTTATTTTAGTCTTATGTACTCTCAATGTATATATCTCTAAGAGCCTAACCATTTTAAAAGGTCATTAAAACAGACATAAATTAAACTAAGCATGACAGAATCACACACTTGAAGAGAAAGATAAAGTTAACTGGTTAACTTTTTGGAAAAGTTAAATCTCTGTGCTAAGAAGCTTGGCAATAATAAATTTTGGGGAAGAATATTTTCTTGTTCCATTGTTATTTGGTGGTGGAGAAAATGTGACGATTGTGCTAAAAATTATTTCCTGCGCTGCACAAATTGACAGTGTCAAAACCTACCTATGACTGTTTCTAAGAATGATCATAAAAGTTCTGAAACAGCAGAAAAAAATGAGTAACACATTTAACTCTATTAGCTGTTACGCACACTGCCAAGAATCATAATATCAATGTTCAGGTTATATAATGATAAAGGTCTGCTAGTAAATAAACCCTACGGCCATTTTAGAAAACAGCTGATACAAAATGTCCCAGATTAGAGTAAAAGCATGACAACAGACAAACAAGTCATCTTGACTAACAGATCAAAAAAACCTCCCATCTGACACAGCATGCTCAGCTTCCTGATACAGCTGTGTTTTTTAACTATTAAAACTTTATGCAAATTGATGCCCCAAATGAACATAATTAACATAGCATTTTCATTTATTAAGATCCCAGTTTCTTTTGAGAATACAAAACTTCACAAAATCAACTTTAAGAAAAGACTGATGCATGCAGTAGAGGCTTGAAAGCCAGTGCAGAAAATAAGAACAGCAAAGCTGAGGCCAGCGCCTCACAGACCGGGGCGTTTTTCACACGTCTGTACCACAACGCTGCGGGAGCTGAGCAGCAAGCAACCCCGAGCGTGTCCGGGTCCCTGCTGCAGTGTTAGCTTGGAAGGAATTTTGTACTTTTTAAAATACTTTCACATTTTGCAGCTCTTTATTTCAAAGAGTATTTTACATAGGCCATCTTATTTTCACAACAACCTGTGAGAATACCAAAGCAAGGGTTATTCTTCTCATAGTGGAGAATATTGAGACACAAAAAGATTGACTAAGCTGCCCACGGCCACAGTTAAGAGCGGAGGTGATATGTGGACCTCTAGCATTTAAGACCTTTTCTAAAACACCAGGTATGCAACAGGACCAACTTGGGCAGGTCTTAAAAACAAAGATGCCCCGGTCCACTCATCACAATCTGCAGGGGGTGGGATCCATGCATCTGCATTTTTTAAAGCTCTTTCAGCAATTTTATGTCCACCAAAGTCTGAGGACCAATACAACAGACCCCACCTACAAGTGCAGTGGTGGAAACCCCATCTCAGCTCAATCTCGGCCAGCCCACAGCAAGTCTTCTGAAGTTAACTGGTCACCAAGCACTTGGTCCCTTTTGTTAACAGTCACTGATGCAAATAGTGGTAAAAATATAACATGGTTCTTAAAGCCTCCAATCATAGCAAGCCCAACAGTCCAAAATTTGGAGTGGTAACCCAATAAAATCAAAGCTTTTCTCAGTGGGTTATCATGATCATAACCCTTAATGTACATTAAAAATAACAAAGGGGATGTCATACTAAGTGAAGTAAGCGAGAGAGAGAAAGGAAAATACCATATGATACCATTTATATAAGGAATCTAAAAAAATGACACAAATGAACTTATTTATAAAACAGAAGCAGACTCACAGACATAGAAAATGAACTTATGATTACCAGGGAGGAAGCAGGGAGTGGAAAGATAAACTGGGAGTTTGGGATTTGAAGATACTAACTACTATACATAAAATAGATAAACAGCAGTGTCCTACTGTATAGCACAGGGAACTACATTCAATCTCTTGTAGCAACCTATAATGAAAAAGAATATGGAAAAGAACATATATATATAATATATATATATTATATATAAAACTGAATCACTATGCTGTATGCCAGAAATTAACATAACATTGTAAACCAACTATAGGTCAATAAAAATATTTCAAGATGGACAAAAGTCATGATTGCCTCAATAAAATTTAGAATCTATTCTAAGAGCAAGAACTAACTTTGTACATAAAGGAAATGCCCCAAAGTCATTCCCCTTTAAGACAGTAGTAGGATAAGACATAATGGTGATAACCTATCTCAGAAGCCAAGAAAATCAGCATATACACAGAGGAAAGAAATTTACCCTGCTATGCTCTTTGCATGTCTTACCTCATTAATCCTCATAAGTAGGTACCATTGTTATCCTCATTTTATAGAGAAGGAAACTGAGGGACAGGGAGATGTTACATACATTTTTCATGGTTACAGTTTGAAAGTGGTTGAGCTGGGACACAAATTTAAGCAGTCTAGCTATAAAATCCATTCTGTCAAGCACTGCACTATATAGATTTTGACAGATTACATGACCACAGGTCTGGAAAACTTACAAGAAATAATCTGAATATACTAGCTGTAATAAATTGAATCAACAAGATCCCAAGATATAACCTGCATACTAATAACACGCAGTTAGAAAACACAACATGAAAACAAAAACTTTACTCACAACAGAGACAAAAATTTAACTAACTGGCCATTAATACAGCCCAGGATGCAATCGAGTAAAAGAAAATGTTCAAACCTGTGCTCCTGGAGGGGAAGACTTTACTATCTAGTTAAGTTAGTAGGACTAACAATATGCTCTTAAGGTAATAGATTATGCTGTATTCTGACCAGTCTGAGCTACTGCCGTCCCCACCCCTCCACCTGGACCTCTCTTTTGGGGCTTCCCCTCCTTACTATCTATCTGGTAAGAAGCTACATCCTTGAAGATCTAGCCTAGAACTCTTCTTTACGTATAATGACTTTAGAAGGCTAAGGTTACTCACCAGCCGCTATGCAGCATGAGAAACATCTAGTCAGTAAAAGGCCTAGAGTGTTAAGAGCCATATGGATAGCATTTAGGAGGGCCGAGGGCACTAACTTCTCAATGCTGCAAATGATTATTTGGTTACGGAAACATTTATGGCCCACTGAATTACTGATCTGTTCTGAGCCTAAATAATGCTCTCAGAATAGATACTTAATACACAAACCAATGAATGAATGAACAAACAAGTGTTTACCCCAATATGGAAGAGGGCGCTAACAGGCTTGTGGTCACTGGTTTTCAGTTCCATGTGACTCCGGTAATGAAGCTGATTAACATTAATTCCTCTCCAAAGAATTCGGTCACACCAGGCTGGAACCCGACATTTCCCACTGCAAATTAAAGAAAAGGAATTAGAAGGAGGCCATACCACACAAGAACGTGATGCCTACCACACTGGGTCAGACCAGAGTTAGGCCCTCTTGTTGTATGCTTCTCCTTCTCTAATGACCCCAACTGTCATCTTCCCCACCACACCACAAGCTCCGTGAAGGGACTGTGCCTGCTTGTTCACCACTGAATTCCCATCCCCTAACACAGTATCTGGTGCAAAGCAGGTGCTCAGTGAATAGTTATCTAATGAATGAACAAATTCATTAAACCTTCTTAAAACACCCTCTGAAGGTCAGGATTATATTCAGAACACTTCTTCATTTGCTTGATCAAATGCAATGACAGATAGACAACTAATAAAATCTAAAAACCCAATCTTTCATTCCTAAACTGGGCTTAATCACTGGAGATGGGTAATGGTAGAGATTTCTTTAAACCTGGACTTCTATGAACAAGTCTAGCTTCTTCTAATCAAGCTGAACTAACATCTAAGCATGCAAGTCTGAACATTTAACAGCCCATAAGAATACCAAGGGGAAGGGAGAAGCCTATTTATCACTCTATTAAAAAAGCAACACCTGTACACCCGATCCAGATGGTGACACTAAGTTCTTATCAGTAGCTCTTCAGTTGACTCTCAAGTCAGGTGAGTGGAAGAAACAAGGCGAAGTGTACAAGATCTGTCAGAGTCACTTTTCACTTGCTGAGCAGCTCCCTCAGAGGACAGGGATACAGACTCCTCCCCACCCCACCCTAGTTCTCTCTGAGGCTAAAGAAGCTTAATATGTCCAGGGATTCTCTTTTTCTCTCAAACTTCTGGGCTCAGTCAGCTAGGAAACCATAGGAAACAAAGAAATAGTAGGGAGAAGACCAGGCGCGTACTGTCAGGGGCACTTTACTAGGGGTGATCAGGAAGTCTCAGGGCCCCTTAGACTGTGGTTCTCAGCTTTCTTCAGCAGCCGTGGAGGTCAAGCCCAGGCACCGCTGTTTTTAAAAGTTCCCCAAGAGATTCTAATGTGTACTCAGGACTGAGAACCGCTGTGCTGGAAGAATCCTTAATGGCACTTTGTTTTCACCTTTGGTACCCTGAGATAGAGTTGAAAAACAGTTTGGGCAACTCTGCTGAGGTGACAAAAATAAGGCACTGCAGGTGGCCCAGAAAACTTCGACAGCCTGACAAAGCAGTTAATACTGCCCTGTATTAAGCTCACCTGTGAGTACACACGAATTAAAAAGTCTTCTGTAACAGCACTGAGACATTATGTTTTTATATCTGCTTCTGGCGAGACCTAAACATTCCCCAGCTCTTCATCAACACAGACAGATGGAAATAAGATCAGGTCTTAACCTATCCCATGAGGAGCTTCTCATTATCTTACCTGGAATCCCATCGGTCTGTCTTAGAGTCATACTTATAAGTGGGGATAAACTTGATGTCCCCTTCCATGAAGTCTGCAAAAGCCTTTTTCTGTGTGCGCTGAATATTTAGCTAGAGATAGAAAAAAAGTATCACATAAGCAGGGTAACACCATCTTAATATACGTGATAATCAGGTTGATCAGCCATTTCTAAGTATCTAGATTCCATATCTTTTACAACTGTCAGAGTACATACATAAAATTTCTGCGCCTTATGAAGTACATTTTGACATTCCCACAGCACTTAAACTTACCCACAGAAAGGATGCTTATTTGAGTACATTACTAACTTTTCATTGCTAACAGTGGTCAGAGTAAAATGAAAAAACAAAACCTGAATAATCATAAGTTCCCTGAAGTTAGCACAATTTTAATTTAAAAAAAAGCACACAACTGTTGGATGGATAATTCCAGAAGCCAAATTCAGTGAATAGTTAGAGATCATTTTGAAAGTTACCCTCACTCAAATATTTTAGCAGTATTACATAAGATTCAGAACTTACTCCAACTGTACCCACTTTGGAGGCAGGACTGAGGAAGAAATGCAAAGAAGTTAGCCAGCCAACCTCAATGTGAAGGTACACACAGCCAAGAAGGGCTCACTGTAAAAACCATTCTACTGCAAAACTTCAGGATTTTGACTATGTCTGAAGATCAAAAGTCTCACATTAGGATTTAAAGATTCCAATCAAGTGGAGACATTTTCTTCCCTCAGTAAGAAGCATTCAGTTTTAGCAGCCAGTATCCATATGCTGAAGTAAAAATTCAAGTCATGTGCCAGGTTCCAAGGCAAATTTACAGAATACTAGGTTCCTGAATATCAAGTTTTATATAAATGTTACCAAATCAATGCTTCTCCCACAGGTTTTAACATCTATAAACCAGCTAACCCCAGCTTCTCAATCAGTTCCCATTAGACCACTGTGTGTGCTATTTTTCCCAGACAAACTTCTCCTCTGTGCTTCCCAAGCCCCACACAGGGCCTCCCTCTTTTACCTCCAAGCTGTTGCTAAGCCTGCCAAGTAATCATAGAGCAGCTTTCCCTGCTCCATCTGCCAAACCACATCAACATAGCTGAAGGCCCACTTCCTCCAGGAAGTGTTCTCCAATTAACCCCACCCGTTCTCCAACTCATTTATACAGATCTCCGAAATCTCTCCTTGATAAAGACTTAACGAAGAAACATTATACTTACTTTCATCACTAACGGTATCTCTTCTCCTCCCATCTAAGCATGTAATAAAAGCACTGCCCACTTTGTGTGTATTCACTGCATCACCAGTCACAATGTTTTCCCCAGACAATGAGACCTTTCCGTCTACTTCTAGAGTAAGATACACCTCCCATGGGTCTACCTCATCCACCTAACAACTGTATCTGCTATCAAGGAAAGTACCTATAAAATAAAAATTTACTGACCTGGTCAAATTTCAAGAGTCTCTGAAGGTCATTCTTGTTAATAAGACTCTTCACTTCATTGGCATCAGGCATGCAAAGTCTATAGTTCAAATCTCCCAACCAGATGACAACACTGGGGATCAAAAAATACATGAATAGAAGCAGCAGTAATGAGCATAAAAGTCAACCAGAGGAGAATGGAGAGAAGAAAAATGGGCAGATTACTGATAAGCATTCGTTTATCACTATCTGATGAGGGGTTTAAGCTATAACTATCCTTTGGGGACAAGCACTGTCAACACCTGAAAGGGACTAGGGATTACAAACAGGCAGGAGGGCGGGCAGTCCACACATGGAAAACAAAGACAGGGAAATACAGTGTATGTGTGGGGTTCAGAAGCCAAGGAGTTAACTGCCTGAGAGAAGCGTGTAGTTTGTTTGCTGGACTAGCTTCAAAATTTTGCCTGGCTGCTTGCCAGGTCTCTAGGGGAACAGAATCTGAACGTTTGCGGCCTCTCCGAGCCCTGATGTTCCGCAGGCTCTCCAGTAAACTCTGCATGGTCTAAGTGACAGCTCGCTCAGGCAGGGCTCACTCGCAAATGTTGGTCCAGGGCTTTCTCCTGCAGCCAAGATGTTTATCCCTGCCCAGATCCACCGTCCGAGTCCCAGGCAGGATGGGGAAGGGCATGCCACGGGAGCCTCGGGCCCCCAGTCACAGCAACAGGCGCTTAGGTGTGCTGAGAGCCCCACAGAGGAGACCCTGAAATTACCACAGCAAGACAGGTTCTCTTGTGAGCTGTCTCAAGTTCTAGATGAGTCTCTATTTGCCAGTCTTAAATGTAACATGAAGTTTATGGAATCCTAGGGAAATAAATTTACGGAATTCCAGGGCAACTTTATGACCACTGCTGTCAAGGCCTTGTTTGACCACTGTGAAACAGAATTCCGTATGATCCTAATTGTTGAGACAACATGGAAATAGGCCAACATCACTACCTTTCCCTATTCTTTCCTCAATTACTCCACTCTCTACTGATTCTAATACCCCTAAATTATCTTTTGTTTTCCTACTAATTCACATCTCAAACCACTTGTTCCAAATCTCATCACTCTCTCAGGGTTTCAATTACTAGTATTAATTTCCTTACAACTAATTATTTTCTACTAACAATCCATTCCTCAACTGATTTCTGTTTCTACCCTTATTAAGTCCCATTCTTCACTAATCTTTCATATTATCCATTGGTGTCTTTAAGTCTCCACCACCTCTACTCTTATTGATTCACAGCCAGTAAAAAGAATAATGTAGATCTATATTTACTGGCTTGGAAAGAGATTCACAATAAATAGGATAATACGGTCCTATATAATGAGTATGTGTGTGTTTGTATGTGCACGGAGAAAAGTCTAGAACAGCACTATTCAGAAGAAATATGATGCACATCACAAATTAAATTTTAAATTTTCTAGTAGCTACATGTAAAGAAGTAAAAGAAACAAGCAAGAACAACAAATTTCATTTAACTCAGTATATCCAAACTACTGTCATTTCAACATGTAATCAATATTTTAAAATTGAGATATTGTACAATTTGTCCCTACTAAACTCAGTGTATAGTTTTCGCTTACAGCACATCTCCATTTGGACTACCTACTTTCAAGGGCCCAACAGCCACCTATGGCTACTGGCTGTCATCCTGGACAGCACAGATCTAGAAGGAAACACACAGAATTGTTGATGATAGTTTTCTTTGGAGAGAGTGACTAGCTGGGGAGAGTAGAGATAAGAAATGAAGGAGTTTTACTTTTACTTTTTATTACATTTATAATGAACATTTCTATTTTATAATAAGAAATAATAAAAATTGACTCCAGTTGACAGACCTCCCCCATCATTACTCTATATGCCCACTAATGGAACTAACCTTTCCTCTGATGATAAATCTAATTTCTCAGACTCAATGCATCTGCTATTCCTCAACCCCACCCACCTCATCTTTGTGACCTCAACCCCTAAACAGTAATCTCTCACTTTTCACATTTCTATAGTTTCATATCACCTTTAATTTCTTCTCAGCCCCACTACTCAAAGGTAAAGGAGAGGGGGAGGGTATAGCTCAGTATGGTAGAGTGTGTGCTTACAGTGCATTAGGTCCTGGGTTCAATCTCCAGTACCTCCATTAAAATAAATTTTAAACAAATAAACCTAATTACCTCCCCCCACCAAAAAAAATAAATAAAACCAAACAAACAAAGGCTAAAGGAGACTTAACCACTCACTCATGTTTCATGATGTTCAGCTGTGGGAGGGTCTGATTTGGGACCACAAAACTCATTCGTGCGCAAATGTCCTTATAATCTTGATTCCTTCTCTCAAAGTCCTCTACATGGGCAGCCAGATGGGAATTGACAATGCAAAAGGTAGTGTTGTGAAATACAAATCTCACAGCTACCCCACCTTTGTTTCCCTGTTAGCAAGAGTAATTATTCACAGTTAGTACAAAGACACAACTAGCACCTGAACTTCACATGGATATAAATCATAATCCAGCTCATTTTCAAAGTAACTCACCATCTTCCCCATGATTCCAGTTCCAACTGTTTCTGTAGCAACATCACGGATGTATCGCCACTGATCCTTTCTGGCAAATATCAGGAGCATCATCCCAACAAGGCGGACTAGTTGAACCTATGAGTTCCAGGGAGTTAGAAAAGGTTCATGTTGATACTACTCTTTGCCACATAGCTAACTTCCCACAACTAATTTTCCACCAAGAAGATACAACCATGCCCTAATCTGAATTCAAATCCTCTAATTTCCCACTGGACTCCATAACGAGAAAACAGTATTTTTCTGGGAAAGCTCTAATCTGTCTCTGACCAGTAAAAAGTCTTCAGGGACAATGAGTACGCTCACCTCTAATCATTATTTTAATCACTTTTTAGGCTACCATGAGTAGGCAGCATTAAAAATTCAAATAATAAAGATAAAGCCTCTATCTCAGCGTGTTCCTTTTGTTTCTCCTTCCTAATTTCTAATTTACAATTTCCTAAGGAATTAACATTTATAAAATAGCAATCCTTTTTACTCCGATTATTATTAGTCTGTGAACTAGGACTAGAAATATGTCTAAAATCTGTATTAGGCAAGCACCTATATGAGAGGAATAACATTGTCAGGAGTCTTATTACCTACATCAGCTATTAGAGGATGTAGACGAAAATTATTTAGACAGACAACTCCTTTTAAAGGGCTTAGTATGGTAGCCTTGTACTTAAAATAACTCTTCTCGTAGCCTCCATGTGCTTTCTAAAGTCCAACAAATTGGCCCACCTTGCTAAAGTCAACTCTACTCTTGACTTACAACCAAGTTTAGAGCTCATTTAAATTCCACAACACTCTGTTCTTGCTCCAGTTCCAAAGCTTACCCTATGCACCCACATGCTTCAAACTGCTTTCCTGGAAAGCATCCAGTTCTGACCATGTCAGTGAGCAATTTCAATCTTCATCTCTTATTAAACAAATCATTTACCTTATATGTAATCATTTTGACTTAATTATGGTTATGCGAACAATAAAATTCTTTTTTTTCTCCGAAAAGCTACATAAGCAATGAAACTATAGGATCAGGAAGCTTAGGGAAATTTTTTTCTATGAAATAGGAGTAAAAATGATTAGTGTGTCCTATTCTAGTATTACATACACATGGGGAAGAATTCAATTAAACCATTCTTTTGGAACAAGCTATAGATAACAGAATAACTTGCAGTGAATTCTATTTAGTCGTATACAAAAAAAAAGATAATTAAATTCAGCTTACTTTCTTATACTTGGCTTTGGAATGCAAACTCCTCTCCACAGCCAAGGACCACTCTTGTTCCTTCACAGATTCAAAGTAGAAAAAAGCTTCTGTGCTCAAGTCCAGCTCTTGGAATCTGAGAAAACAAGAGGATGTGATGTCTATACACATCCCGTAATTATTTTTGACTACCTCCTGTTTCATTTTCTGGGCCATTAGGTGAAAAAAGGAATGGGAGAGAGATGAATTTTATGGAACTGCTCTGCTGAGTCAGGTGATCAGTAAGGACAAGTAGCTTTCTTTTCGAAAAACTCCCCCACAAGTATACACAGAGGCTATGTAAAATACAAACCAAAGAACACCTCCAAAAGGGATAATAGCAGACCTTTGCTTATCTATTCCAGCAATAGCCACTGTAGGAATTAACCTCGAGTCTGTTTCTGTGAAGTATATAGTTTTCTATGGATTTCAAGAGGATTAGATGCTTCGTTACATCATTTTAGGTCTGTTCCTTTCTGATCTCACAAATCTGACCCACAAGTTAACTCTCACATAAAGTCTACAGTAGGTTTTTACACATAGTTAAAAAAAAAAGGAAGGCAAAATATCATGTAAACTAACACCAAACATATAGCCAAAATGAAATTCCCGACATGTATTTTACCCAATGCAGTAGATATCAGGAGGATTCGGATCACAGTTCAGCCAAGGTTCTAACCCACTATCTGGAGACTGGCCATTCACGTTCCAAGTTCCAATAAAAAATCTAATAGATAATACCAAAACATGATTTAAAAACAAAGGTCAAGTGTGAACCAATGGAAGTTCTATACAAGGGTATGTTCACAATAAGCCAACATAATTTCTCAAACTGTTTTGCCACATACACACAAAAACCCCTTGCACATAGAAAGAAAAGGCAGGGGGCTTATTCTAAGTTTTACTTCAGGTAAACCTACAGAAAGGAACCAAGTCTCTATTTTAAAAACACAAATTTAATTGCTCTACCACATTTCCTTTCAATGAAACTCCATCCAAATTCATACTTGAAGAGAGAGCTTGTGGATGGGAAAGAGGTATCTTCATGCTGTAAGGATACCTAATACGGATAACTGTTCCATAAGGAGCTGCAGTTAAATCCAAAAACTTACTTCCCAAAGGATTACAAAGACATCTGTGTAGGAAATTCTGTTGAGACAGATACAGTATTAAGGGGGAAAGCAGAAGGGAAAACTCATGACTGTCTTTACTGTTTACATACAAATATAAGCATCGTGGGGAATATGAAGAACTGGAGGTTTCAGCACAGGGATGTAGTTATGACTGAGTTAGAAATGAGGCATAATGGGATAGCAGATGGGACTGGAATCTTGGACTAAAAGGGTGCATGCTGTTAGCAAATAACACAGAACAGTGTTGCTGCTTTGTACATCGGGATACATACCACACACAGTGGGTCCAGAAAAGAGGATATCAACGAGCAAAGATGAAATGAAAAATATAATAGAGGAAAGAATCAAGACAGATCTCCTAATCAAGAGGATTGAGTGAAACTTCCTTTAGTTAACTTTCCAAAGCAGGTAGGTTAATATCTAGTGGTAATGTTGGACTTTGCCAGCAAGCCGGCTAGATAAACACACTTGCTTATGGAATGTGCTAGGAGACAATTCCCTAGTACCTGTGAGCTTGTTCTGGTTCTCTAAGAGTAGACAGAAACATGAGTAGATGTGATATCATTAGTAATGAGAAAATCCAAGGGAAAATGTGGAATTTGCATTATCATGGATGTGTATATTATTGACCAGCATAGACAGGGGCCTGAAACAGCTCACCATTCCTTTTTACTATGCTTTCTTTTTTTAAATCGACATATGGTCAATTTACAATGTTGCATTAATTTCTGGTGTACAGCATAATGATTCAGTTGTACATACTATGCTTTGATTCTTAGTTAAGCTAATTAAATTAATACCTTAAATACCAAAAGACCACTTTCTGCTATACCTACTAACTTTTAGCCTCAGTAAGTAGAAAAGAGACTAACTTGAACGTCTGGATGTTGACATATTCTTTCTCTCGCTTTGCCAGGATATGTTTGATGAGACCCTCTCGTTGCCCAGACTGGGTGTTTGGTACAAACAGCTTCCGCATGGTGTTGGTCACCTTGGGCTGTTCCTTGTTAGAAGCTTCTTTTTCACGTGGAAGCCTAGCAAATAAACAAAGAATTCAAAAGTGAAATAGCCTTAAATAGAAAAGTTTCCCACTTGGGAAATATGTTTCAACACAGGACTTACATTCTATTCACGGAAGAGGGTGGAGGTGGAGGTTCCCGATGAACCCCTGTAGGCTGATTCTGCAAATTTGTTTTCTTGTCCAGATTCATAGATGAAAAATTATCCTCAAATCCAAGAAACCCTGAAGGACACAGAACCCAGAGTCAAAGGAGGGGGAAAAGACAACATTCAACTTATCTAGGGTAGACAGGACTTTGCTTTGATCAGCAGCTTTGACTTGATCAATATTTGCTTAGCAGCGTTACCAAACAGAAAGGTATAAGGGTAGCAATAACTGAGACTGGGGGGAGAAGCACATTTCTCCCTGAAGCACTGACATATTAACTAGACCACAGTCAGTCACATTAATTTGGAACCTGAATAATAAGAGCTAGTATTTATAGAAGACTCAGCACAATCCCTGGTTGATAGTAAGGGATTATATATTATCTTACTTAATCTTCACGAAGACCCCACAAGGCAGGTACTATTAAAATGCTTCCTATGTTACAGAAAAAGAAACAAAAGCTCAGAGTTGTCAAGTAACTTGACCAAGGTCAGTAAGTCGGAGAATTAGGATTTCAATCAAGGTAGTCTCGCCCCGGAGTCTGCACCCCTCTGCCAAGCTGGCTCCTGAACAGCTAACGTGCCATTTAAAGGATCAGGAGTGAACATTAGCCAGTGGCCATAGACTTGATACAACCACTCCAGAGGAGAAGGTATCTGACATTGACATTAGTCCACATTATCTTATCCATTCAGATAAAATCTATTGACTCTGCAAGGATCATAGCAATCAGGGGAAAAAAAATCTTTTCAGTACCTGAAAAACCAGAAGATTTATCCTTAGTGTCTAATTTCTGGTACCAGCTGGATGAGTCCTTTTGCTCCGGAACAAGAAGTTGTGACTGAGCTGAAGAGATAAGGATCATGATCAGAAACTGAGGTGCCCTTCATTGAATGGAATTTACCATAACCAAAGGCCATTCACTCAGCACTATTTAAGTGTAGGGGCTAGCACCAATCTTGAATACAAAGGAAGAAACTAAGAAAACGAGGGTAGCTCTGGGATCATCTGGGACCAGAGGAGGATTACAGTCTGCAGTAAACTGTCCAAGACATGGCGCTGAAGATTCTGGAAACTGACTCAGTGTTCTTAAAGCCGAAAAGACGTATTCCCTAACCTATCCCTGGGATCATTCCTGAAGAAAAAAAATTGCCTATCAAGGTTCAAGGGGTGAGGTACTTTGCTAATGGCCACTTGCCTCTGTACAGCATGTCCCGTTCAAATGGTAGAAAGAAAATTGCCGAGTCTTGAGTTACCTTCCTGAGCAGCAAGGACCTCTGAGAGGAACTTCAAGCAGTGTTCCTCATCGGGGATTTCAAAGCGGCGCTCTCTGGTCCAGTCCCCCTGAACCCGAATTTTGCAGCCACCTAAGAAGAATGGAAATCCACCCATATATTCTATTCTGTAGCTATGTGGGACCATATTTTCAACTTACCAATTTAATAGGAGAAAGTCCAGATCACAAATATTCCAGACCTCTAATGTAATATCACAGGATTTGGTGAGGTGGTGGTGGTGGGGTGATGCAGAGAGGGAAATCTAAGACGCTGATGAACTGTGCAAATGAGCAGTCCAAGATAGTGCTATGATGCATACAAAAATCATACTTTCTTACATTCTGATATATTGCTCAGATGTCAATGTAAGAACCTCCAAATTCTAGCAGAAGACTAATTCCTCAACCACCATCCTCCCCTCGCCTAGTTGAAATTCCTACCATTTCAAAATCTGAATTATGTAGTAAGAGCCTTGGAAGTGTGAAGGGAATAAAGGAACTAGGGTAGTTTGTTCCCAGGTACAGATTGTACCCAGGCAATTGAATTTACAAACTAATTAAAAAAGAAGAGAATAATGAGACTGGTTTGAATTATTCTGAAAAGAAGCATCTATCCCTCATTTACCTCAAGTGAAAAACGTATGTCTTGAATAAACTCACAAAAGCAATATAATGACCTATGTCCAGGAGTGGTCTGGTTAAAGTACAGCCAATTGGAAAACTGTATAATTAGAAGCCAAGTTATTTAGGACTTCAGCTTCCTCTGTATATAACATAATGTCTCCCCTTTTCTAATGTCCTATAGTTATCATCTGTATCAACTGTCTGGATATGGTGATCTAGGAAACCTACGTACTTGTTTATTTCTTATTTTAACTGATTTATTACATATATTGCTTTCTCACATGGCAACTTGCAGGCAAGAGGCAGGCTGCACATATGGGTTATCCAACACAACACTGCTGATGGTCTTCCGGGGTTGTCTGGGACTGAGGGGCTTCTCAGGATTCAGGACGTTCAAACCTAAGATCAGGAAAGTCCCAGGCAAACCAGGAGGTCACTTTCTTGATAACAGTGACGTCAGACTTCAGAGACAGAAGACATTTAATGACTCTAGAACTGGACTCTTTCACACTTGAAAATTAGAAATGAGAAAATAAAATGAAAACCCTAGTTTCTTGGGGTAGAAATCCACTTCTGAGCCTTTGGATCTTTTTTCCCTTTGCATTTCCTTATGTTTCTATCTTCACAGATTTAGTGATCAGAAAAAATGAGGTAAAAATAGAAAATGAGGGAAAAAGTGAAAAAGAAAGCACCCAAGAGACCAGAGATAAGAAAATTAATGAGGGTGCTGCTGCAAGATGGAGAAAAAAAAAGGGGGGCATGAATAAGAACTGTCAATTAGCACAGCCTTGAAGATACAGAGAAAACCTCCTTCAGGGCACAAGGAGTCCTCTCCTTCTCAGATAATTTATATTAAAAAGAGAAGAAAAGAGCAGTTTCTATCTGATAGAACAAGAACACATATTCTCTCTCTCCCATAATCCTTGAAAGATATACTTTAGCAAATATAAAAACTAAACTGACCCATTTAACAAACAGAAGATTCCAGAAACTGCTTACAAAGTAACACTAGATGCTCTCTCAGCATGTTTCATGGGAAAGAGGACAAATCAGCCCCACAACCCAACCTTCTACTCTCCTCCCTTCCAAGCCCCTCTGGCCTCTCTGTGATCAGCAAACACTCCTTTATCTTCAACTTCTCCCCTGAACACTCCCTGCATCTCTCAGTAGCTCTCAAGGATAGCTGCATTAGAATTTACCGGAGGCACTTTCAGAAAATACTGACATTTGGGCCCCCCACCCCATGCCGATAAAACAGAAGCTCTGGGGGTGAACCCCAGGCCCTAGAAGTTTTAAAAGCACTCCCTCAAGTGATTCTAGTGCATCCAGACTGAAAATCAGTCACCTGCAAACTGGCCGGCCCCTGACAGCAGCGCTCCCTGAGTGACCCTCTGAAGTAGAGGCTATTTATAAGTCCCTCACACCCTATGTAATTTAAGACTGGTGTCCTTATTTCTCCTCCTGGCCATCTTCAGACCATGCCTTCTTCTCCTCCCTCAGAAAAACATCCTTTCTCCTTTGAGGCTCACCCATTGGGCTTCCCTTCCTTTCTCCACGAGATCATGTACCATCCTCCCAGAAACTTCTGAATCCAGGATTCATTACCTGACTTAGAAGACTTCCTTTCCTCTCAAACTCCTGTCTTAATTTTGGGTCCCTTCAAAATTAGCACCAGCCAACACTTTTGACTTCCTCATCCAACAACCCTGCCCCTCCATCTCAGCCACCTACCCTCCAGTCCCTGGACCTTTCTTTCATCATAGAAACACCACCACCTCTTAAATCTCTAATTCAAACGTCCCACTCTGAACTGTTACTCCTTCTAGCTTCCTTGCTCCTATGGGAACCTCCAGCCCACTGATCCCTCCGCTTTCTCAGTATCCATTTGCTCCCTCCTGCTTTCACTTCCATTTTTTAAATCAAACAGATGTCATCATTAAATTCTGTTGCAAAAACCCAGAACTGCCTCACCGCTCTGTTCTTCCACAACACCTACCTGGCTAACTTCCAACCCTTACAAATCCAACTAACTGCCTTCTCTGTATTTATGCCTGAGCAACAAGAGGGATTAAACACACACACACACACACACCCCATTATGAACTGATTGCTAACCTCAACTGGGCCCTCTATGATAGGAAGCGATCTAAGTTTCCATAGTCAACTAGTCTCCTGCTACTACCTGGAACAACTATTCACACCTTCTCCTCAACCTTTCTTTTTTTTTAATTTTTGGGAGTCCTTGATTTTTAAAATTTTTTATTTATTTACATATTTATGTATTTATTTATTCATTCATTTTTTAATGGAGGTACTAGGGACTGAACCCAGGACCTTGTGCATGCTAAGCATGCGCTCTACCACCGAGCTATACCCACTGCTTCCATATTTTTCCTCAATCTCTGGATCCCCCTCTTCTCAAGCTCTCTCCTTCCAAGCAGACTGCTTTACCTCATACTGCAGAGAAAACGGAAGCTACACATGGAAACCTACCTGTATTTGTACGCATCTTCTCCTTTCCCCTCTGACACAAGGAGGAAAAGTTTCTTGATCAAAGGCCACCTTCTCCTTGAATTATAACCCCTCTGATTTTCTCAGGAATCCTAACTTCACAATCATTCCCTAGACACCATCCCCGAATATCTTTAGCCTCTCCCTCGCACAGGCTCCCTCCCATCAGCATTAAAATAAACCATGTTCTAAATCCCCCTCATTTAAAAAACAAAAAAAGTTCCTGAACCCCATATCTCCCTCTAACTTGTCCATCTCTATATTCTCCTCCACAGTCAAGCTTTAAAAAGCATACAGTTGCTATTTGCTCCCCTCCCATCTCTCTCCTTAATCCACCCCAATATGACTGTGGCTCCCATCGCCCTTCTGAAATTGCTTTGTTAAGGTCTCCAATAATCTCCATGTCGCTAAATCCAATCGATACTCTTCAGTCATCTTATCAGACCTATCAGCAGAAATCAACAGTTGACCGCTCCTTGACATAATCTCTTCCAAAGGCTTCCATGACACCATAGTCATCTAGTTTGTCTCTCTGTCTTTGGTCACACATTTTTAGTGCCCTTTGAGGTACCTCCTCCTCTATCTGAACTTTAAAAAGTAGAGTTCCTTAGAGTTCAATCCTGAACCTTTTTCTCACTCTGTATCAGCACTGTCCGCAGGACTTTCTGTGATGATGGACATGTTCTCTAACCTCACTGTCCAATATGGTAACTAATGACCACATGTGGCTGATGAGTACTTGAAATGTGACTAGGGCAAATGAGGAACTGATTTTCTAAGTTTGTTCTAATTAATTTAAATAGGCACATGTGACTGTATCTGATAGCACAACTCTATATGTAATCACTTCATCTCTCATAGTTTCAAATACCATCTATGTGCTAGTGACCCTGACCTTACTTCTGAGCTTCAGATGCATACATTCAGCTGCCAATTTATCATCTACACTCGAATGTCTCAAAGAAATCTCAAACTAAACACAGGCAAAAATTGAATTCATGACCACTTCTAAGGAAAACTCATTCCTCCTGCAATGTTCTTATTTCTGCAAATGATACCATCATACACATTCATGCCAGAAACCTGGGATTCATCCTTGACATGTCTCTTCAACTCAGCCCCTATACCCACACTAACTTCTGTTGATTTAACTTCCAAAAACACTTATCAGATCTGTCCACTTCTCTCCATTTCTACTGACACCATACTCTCCAGCTTGAACTGCTAAAACAGCCTCCTAACTGGCTGCCATGCAAATGATGACACCCTGGCATAAAATCCTTCATATTCTTCCAATTTTTTAAATTAAAAAATCCAGATTCCTTATCATGGCTTACAAGATCCTATTAGGTTTGGTCCTAGCCTGTCCTACCTTGGCGCCTAAGCCTTATTTCAGGCACCCTGGCCCTCTTTAACTTCAAACAAAGTGTCAAGCTACTTCCCAATTTGGGGTCTTTACACATGTGGTTCCTTTTACCTGGAATACTCTTCTCTCTCCCATTTTCACCTGTCTCTTACTTATCCCCTCTGGACTCAATTTAAATGTCACTTCTTCAAAGAGGCATTCTCTAAGCACCCTGCCTAATTTAGTTAGCACTCTTATACACTCTCTGTATTTCTCCTTGATAGCATTTATCAAAACAGCCATTATGCGACTGTATCTTATCAGTTTAAAGTCTGTTTCCTGCACTAAGTTTCATGAAGTACCATGACCATATTGTTTTCTGCTATATCCCTAGAGCACAATGCCTGGCACATGAAAGGTATTCATATTTTTATGGAATGCATTAATGGATTATAGGCATCTATGTGATACTAGCACCAAATAGCACAGAAGCAAGAACCAAAGCAGGAGCAGCAACCTTATCTATGTTGTTCTCTACCGATTGTGCAGCACTTAGAGCAGTGCCTGGCAAGTAGAAGGCACTCAACAAACATCTGTTGAACAATGAATCAAAGAGGGTTTAACATTAGGAAACTAGTATAATATAGTCCATCAACAGGTCAAATAAGGAAGACCAATATAACCATCTCTATAAATAATGAAAAGACATTTGATAAAATTCATATACAGTCACGATTTTACAAACCACACAAACTTGAAATAAATGCAGTTACCTAGTATGGTTTTAAAAACTCAATCAAATAAACAGGCAATAATGTCCTCAATAGTGAAGCACCACTTGAGACATTCTCACTGAAATCAGGAGCTAACCATAAATCATTATTGTTATTTAACATTGGTCTCAAAATTCTTGTTGGTGTAATGAGACATGAAGCCAAACTAATAGTTACAGCTGCTAGAAAGGACACAAAAGCATTACCTGCAGATAACCAGGACTGTCTATCAAAACCAAAAAACAAAATGAACAGCCCCCTCAAATCAAAAATAAATTTCTGTGAAGTGGCTGGATAAAAGATAAATATCTAAAACTCAACAGCCTGCTCTGTATACTAGTGATAAGAAATTAGGAGATAAGAGAAAAAAGGTTCCACTGACAGTAGCAGCAAACAAATAAAATCTACCATAAAATACTTAACTCGTAAATGTATGATATATATGAAGAAACTACAAAATGTTACTGAGAGATATAAAGAGAACCTGAACAGGTAGAGATATACCATGTACCTGGACAGTGAGTTAATTTTATAAAGGAGTAAATTTAATAAAATTTGGCACACATCTATGGTGCTATATTAGCCATTAAAATTATGTTTTTAAGTAATTTTAAATTACATGAGAAAAGGTCACAATATAATGTTAAATGAAAATGCAGGATTAAAACCACATATGAGGATTCTAATTATGTAAAAACATAAATAAAAGACTGGAAGGAGATATATAGAAATGTTCATTATAGTAGTGATCACTAGGTTGCAGGAGCATAATTTTAATTTGATACTTTGAACTTTTCTGAATTTTCCAAATTGTACATAATGAAGATGTATTACCTCTATAATTGAAAAAAATTTTTTAATGTTTAATACCAACATCCAGACAGCAGGAAAATACATAGTTACATTAAAATCAGGCCTTCCTAACAAACCCAAGGTCTCCCTCCGGCAACATACTGTGTGTTCTGAAGGTTTATATACGAAGTCCAAGGATCAAGAGAAAATCTGGTTTCACTGCAAATATTAATAAACAGGTAGAAATAACAAAGGATTTTATTCAAGTGGTTACTTAACTACTTCCCATCTATGATTCAGTAACTTGAACTGCGGATAGAGCAACACATGGCTAACTTCTATGCAGGAGAGGCCAACAAAACGAATGCCATAAATTAGGTGCTTATAAGATAAAAAGGCACAGCTCAGTTTAACTTTTCAGCTTTGGATCAAATACCTATCTCTACACCAAGAACAGGACATTTAGGTATCTTATTTCAGCAGCAACATCAGTCACTGCTGAACCGCTTTTGCTCAAATTTTGCTTTTTTAGTGTTATTTTTGCCTTCTCCTTTTAAAGCATAATAAGACATAGATATTATGCTATTTGCTTTCTTGGATATCTGCAGTAAAAGCCAGAAGCTGGGTTTACTTAGCCTTTCAGTAAACAGCCCTTAAGACTTCCAAAATACGTGACCAAAAGAAAAAAAAATTAAACCCAAACCAGAAAAAGCCTGCTTAAACTGTTCAATACTAAATAATGGTACCAAGGCCAGGGACTGTGTCTAAGCAAAACTATGTATAAACCCACAGCCCCAAGCTGAGGGTCAAGCCCCATTCATCCAAGGTCTCAACTATGAGATAAGGCAACTCATTCGATATAGATTCATGTGATCACTTACTGTTTTCCATAGCAACCACAGAGTAGTCATGGTAGCATTAAAGTGCCCATTTTCTCCTCCCCACGTGAACATAGTACAATTAGATGATAAATGGAGAACAACTTGCACAGAGAATCAGTGATGATTTGCTTCAAACATATAAAAATGAGATGGAAAGAGTGAGAAGGAAGACCACATTCTCTCTGATAAAGAATGCCTTGAGAGGAGGGAAAGATATAGCTCAAGTGGTAGAGCCCATGTTCAGCATGCAAGAGGTCCTGAGTTCAATCCCCAGTACCTCTTCCAAGCAGAAATCAATGAATAAGCCGAATTACCTTCTCCTCAGAAAAAACCAAACAATACAAGAATGCCTTGAGAGGATGAGACTTAAACAAAAGGCCAAAATTATTTTAAGAAAAAAAAATATCCCTGGTAAAAGAGGGACTCTGTAGCCTCCCAAAATAATATAACAAATAAAGGAAAACATTATGATTTAACATGTAAAAATAAAAAGTGGGTGGGGAAAAAAAAAGCTTAAAACATAACAGCAGTTTAAAAAAAAAACTCATAAACCTTATGCGCTTTAAATATTTTCCAGCCCTTCCTACAATATTCAATTCCACAGCAATGACTTAACTGAGACCAACAATACTGGTAGCTCAAAGAAGTTCAGCATTAGAAAAGCAGATGATCAGATTTTCAACTTTTTAAAGATTCTTACCAGCCACCTGTTTTTTTCTTAAGCTTAGGCTAAATGTTTTTGGAAGGCAGTGCTAATATGTATGGCTCCCTTAAGAAAATGGAGAATACAGGAAAAGATGATAAGATAAAAGATATGTAAAAAGGGTATCTTAAATACAGTGGGTATTCAAGTAAGTATTTGTTGAATGAAAATCAACTCCATTCAGAAAGATACTCACTGTTTGAAGCTATGTCAATCAAAAGAGTTTCTTCCGCTTCTGAAGGAAAAGAAAAAAGAACAGGATCAGGGGAGAAAAACCTGTTCATTACAACCAAAAGAAGTAGACAGCTAACCAAATAACTGCCTATCTCAACCACCACTCTTAGATTTTAGAACACATTAAAAAATCCTTTGTTTTTTTGTTTACCAGTTTTTAAAAAGGTTTTTAATAGCACTAGGTTCTAAAGATTGTGAGCAATTCAACTAAAAGAAAAAAGAACTGAACAAGTAACCAAATGGAATGCCTCAAAGCAAATCAAGCAATGACAACAGCAGGGAATATAACATGCTAATCCAAGGGAAGATGAGTTTAATTCCCCTCAACTATAACATACTAATTTAAAATAATCTGACTCTGTCATTTAGATAATTCTTATAAAAAGCCAACAAAGTGACCCCAAAGGCCTAGAGGCCTTTCTGAACTGAAATGTAGTCTCTGAAAATTCCCCAGTGATCTCATTTCTTCCACCGCTGCCCCATACAGAAGCAGAGAAACTTGAAGTTCTTTCTCTTCAGGCTACCATTAACATCTGTGGGTCCAAGGCTTACCACACCCAACAAGGAAGTATAAAATGGGGCAAAGGACAGCCTGAAAGTTCAGAGTTCTCCTTCCTCTCCATGGCTCGCCCGGATTTCCCTCCTCACCTTTAGTGTCTAGGCCCAACCCATCTCTTCCTCTCTGACTTCCCAGGATTTGGCCAACAGCACCTGCTAGACCCTTTCGGCTATTTAAACTCTGGGTACTGACCCCTTAGGATTAGTTTGGATGTACCTTGGCCAGATGGAGCAGTCTCAGCCTTTTCTAGCTGCTTCACAAGCCTGGATTGTACATTTGGCACCATCATTCAGGCACAACAGAAGCAACTGGTAAGGAACTAGGTTGTCTAATAACAGAGAACAGTCTCAATGCTCTCACTAGCATGATGAATGAAGCAAGCGACAATAGTGCATCAGGACATAGGTATTATATGTCCACCACTGCTCTTCAGTAACTTTAATTCTTTAAAATCTAAGCACTTACAGACTTTTCAAAATAGATGTACAGGTCAGGAAACAAAAAGGATGTGAAAACTTGAGGAGGTCACTGTTTCTTTTGTTGTGAGGAACTACTGTGTGCACGCACACATATTTTCCTAGTTTCCAATCTAACCATCTCCCATCTATTTCTTATTAAAAACAATACTAAGAGAAACAGGGTAAAAGAAACTCTAGAAGCAACACAAAAAGATACAGATTTAATAGGATACTAAAGCCATGTTCTTTGGCTTTTCTCCTCCTTAAAGAGCTGAGGAGGTAACAAAGGGCACTACACCATGAAAAGTGAGGTCAGCACAGTGACTTACTACCACGTGCAGGTGACCCGTTCAGTATGTCTCTCACAGGGCAGGTTAAATGGCTAAATAAAAGACTTATTCGTCTATACAATGTGGATGTTATTTCTGTGGGATTTTTGATTCTTAATACATGCTCTCTTAAAAAGTCATGCTCACTTAGTATTTCTACTTACAGGAATAAATCCTAAGGAAATAAGAGACGTGCAGGAAGTTTTATTACTTATTTATCCTAACAAAAAATAACCCAAATGTCAAATACAGGGAATAATTATGTTATAGACCATTAAATGGAATAGTATACAGCTATTAACAGCATGGAAAAAGCATACATAACGTGATGGCATGTGGAATGGACAAAAAACTATATACAGTATGAGTCCCACTCACCCTGAAAGTTACATGTGTAGAAAGAAGAGAAATGTTAGATATTTATCTCCAAAGAATGTGAATTTACTCATTTTCTTTATACTTTTCTGTTCTTACCAAACTTTTTACAGTATACATGTTACTTTCATGATCATAAAAGTTGAATGTAGTTTAAGAAAAGAATTCACACAAGGTAGGATTCGAGTTTTCTGAGAAGCTACGGCTGATACAGAATGCCTATTTGATGAAGCCAACAGACCTCCCAGAAACATAATGCATTTTTTCTCTAATCATCAATTTCCTTTCTGGAGCAACGTGAGATGACAGAAGCAACACATCCCACACAAACCTCCCAATTTTTGAGTCTCTTTGTAGCAGATGAAACAACAGATTTTCTGTTCTCTTTCCCCAAATTTGAGGGCAGGAAGCCAAATATTTCCTCCCCACAGTCGATTTGCTTATGAGTCACCAATGTCAAGGTTTGAGAATCAGCACAATTAAGTGTAAGGTATTACAATGTTTTAATTTCAAATAGTGTGGGGGGAAGTGCTGAATGCGTGTGAATCCAAGTGACCTTGATACTTTACAATGAGCAGTGTATCACTTAAACCCAAGAATGTGATTTAAATCCACATACAGGTCCATCAGCAATAAAGGTCTACCTACATAGATAACAGACTACATACATCTCTAACCCCAGCCAGGGGTGTAGGTGAGAATACGTATCTTTCAATATAGTCCTTCAGCACTTTTAGACGAAGCATTTATCATGTTTTCAATGGTAGATAAGTAATGTTATCTTTCTACATAAAGCGTAATACATTTCATTTTATGTGCAGTGACAAATTTCAATATATATTACACAATGCAATAATGACCAAGGGAAAACATTATAAAGCTAGCTAAGCAATTAAAGTTAGTACCTTGAACACATCTAAAGTGGCTATTTATAGGAATGATATCTTGAACATGTTGTTCCTTCTTGTGCAACCGGATTATTAGCCTAGGAAACAGAAGAATGCATCAACGAAGAGCTACTGAAAAACTCAAACATTTAACAATAAAATATATTGCTGTGCTGTTATACAAATCTAGTCTGTATTTATTAGACTTGCTGTATCTTGTTCCCTGAATCTGAGCATCATGATAGCTACATATTGCTCTAGGTCTAAAAGGATATTAGCGGTAATCAATATCTGAATGGCCACACTGTTCCATGCTATCAAGGACATAAAATAGTCTATGTCTTAAAAACAGTTTACCATTTTAAGAGCGTGAATTACAGTGCACGCACCTTCAGAGCATGCATACCAGAGGGAAGAACTAATAGCCAGGTGTGAAGTCCACCAGGGCAAGGACTATGGCTGTCTTTCCACCACAGTATTTCCAACACCAAGCACTGTGCCTGGCACATCGCAGTCATTCAAGTTCGTTGAATAAATGAATTAGAAATTTCATTAATTGGCTTTCTGATTATATTCCCATGGTTTTTACCAAAGAATGATTCTATCTCTTCAAATAAGTATATAGGTTCATGGAGAAGTAAGAGAAGGTGCCCAGCCAGCTGGATCAGTCAAAATAATCCCAGTGACCAATAAGGCCGTAGATATCACAACCAGATTGCCTTTATATTCCTTGTGTTTTAACCCTGATTTCCAATTTCATGTTGGTATTTCTAAGTAAACATGACTGAACTTGGCCCCCCAGTACCAAATGCAAGACTTCTATATTCCTATGTGCTCCTGAAATACTAATTTTCTTTCTTTAACATTTTTTATTGATTTATAATCATTTTACAATGTTGTGTCAAATT